GGCTAACAGTTATCCTTACGCCTAGTCTTGGCCGAATACATTTCAAAGTGGCCTGACTGGTAAAAAGTGCCGACAACTACCGCTTGCTGGCAAGGCTGTTAATGTCTTTTTTAAACAGGTCAGTTAGAGCAAATTAACGTACCAGCAAGAAATTATTATCGACATGATTGAACGAATAATAGACCTCACTTGTAGAAATGATTTTCTGGTACTCAGCACATTGCTTCTTACCACGCGGCCTCTGCCAGAAGAATAGATATATGTGACGCAGTATCTATTTTTAAAAATTCAGTGTCCAGGATTTTCTACAACTGACTTCAAGTAACAGTTCTCCTTCCCGAGTTATCAATATTCCCGCCAAAACTTTCGTCTCCTCGTACGCGGGGCCCAGACTTGCGTGAGGGCTGGTACCGCTGTTCTGGGGTGGCACTTGGCCGGGGAACCTACTAGCAAAGCCTTGGCGCTGGAACTTGCTTGGTTGGCGAGTTGGAATATCCGGACAGACGAACACACACGCACGCACACAAACATACACACACACACATACACAGACAGGGTCGTCGCAATACGCGTTTTTGCAATTTGCATATGGGCAAAAACGCATAAAAAGCTATATTTGTAATTAATTACTTAAAACGAAGTTCGTCAAATGCATATGCACGAAATTTGTTTTAATTCAAATGTTTTAAATGTCAAATTTTTAATTTAAATTCCTGCATTCGTTTTAATTTGCATATGCACGCCTAAAATACTTATAAAAGACCATTCAGCGCAAAGTTCACTCAGTTTCATGATACTTTTTGCAGGAACCATGTTGTTGTTGGACGCTTTTGTTATTTTATTAATATTCACTGGCATCCTCATCCCATCTACCGCACTGACAAAGCGATGTGGCAACATGCGGTATCCGTTAAACTGTCCAAGCAACGCCACATGTTTGGCTTTGCGGAATGTGAGGTATTACTCTCAATCCGTGCACAGATTCGTTTTACCCTTCCTAACTAACTAGCTGCATAAATTTTCGATTGTTTTTATTTATACATACATTTATTTATAAACACATCGGTATGCATTGTGCAGTGACAAGACGTGGATGCTGTTAGGCTAAATATCATGGCTTTGATTCCACTGACGGAACGAACACTCCCAATGTCTGTATTTCGCACACTTTGTTTTTTCATGGTAAATTGGTGTCGATGAATGGGAGGAATTCTGGGAAGAGGTAGTTCAGTCCACAGTTTTTATGGGCATATATTATCACTTATTACTCTGTCTGCTACCTTCCAAAATTCCATGCCAAGCACCTCATCGTGGTGTGGGAGGGGCTACGGACTGGGCAGCGAAGGATGTCCAACAAAAAAAAACTCTGACAGCTCCATCCACGTCAAGACGTGAATGGAGCTGTCAGAGTTTTTCTTCTTTTTTGTCCGGCTAAGTTTGTGGCACGAACTAGTGTCCATCCCCAGCGATTGGCAACGCAGCAAAGGTCAAACAGCTCTTCACACTGAAAAATTAATATGTGATAAAAAACGTATTATGGGGACTAAGATGAATAAAGAAAAATAAAAATGTGCCCATGCGTGCCTATTGGCCTGGTATTTGGTAGCGGGTCGCCAGTTTGAAGGCAAAGGGCTGTTAAGAATTTCAGATGCTGTTCGGATGCTGCCACAGAATGACCTCGGTCTGTTGATATGCACTGATAATTGTAAATCGCTGGTGACCTTCTCTAGGGAATGAATAGGATATTGCGACGTCTTCGGTGTGAGAAATACGGCGAAGGACTGGACACACAGTAATTCGAAGAAGTGAAAAAACATTTTACTCGGCGCTGATGACCGACAGAGGAACGTCGGTGAAATTGGGCTTACCGTAGCAGGCAGTGGTATCCACAAATCATTCCTTGTCAGTTTCGTTCTTCACGAGCAGGCATACTCCTCCTCACGCTAGATTCTTCTTCCACAATGAGTTTTTGAGCATAAATTAATGTTTGTGGCACTGTAATAGTAATAAGTGCAAAGACCAAGATCAGTTGTGTCTTAAGTCCTGGACGCCACTCTTTTGTGAATTCTTTTTTGCCCTGGAGTATTGTTGACGGCATGCACTGTAGGGACGTATTGAGTTTTAAGAGGCTGCATTTTTAGGCAACATAAAATGCGGTTAAGCTTCCGTTGTGACATGAATGGCTGGTGTAAACAAAAGTGCTGGAGGCTGCGAAGTTCACGGTGGTGCTTATTACGCAATTTCACGCATGATATAAAATGCTGTTCAATGGATGGATGTAATTTGGCTGAAATGCCACTTTTTGCCTTCAGTGTATGTATTGCTTTTATCTGTTTGAGAACAATACCGAAACGATAGTGAGGGCAGTCCATCTTTTCTGGAGATCAGATAGGAGAATCCACATTTCCCGAAGAATTAAATGTATTTCAGCAAATTGTTAATTATATTTTCATGCATTTTTTAAAACTGAAAATATTTAATTGTGCGCACCGGGGGGCTAATATGGTTAAGTATTTTTGCAATAAGCCACTGCAAGTTCATAGTAGTAAATTTGGCATATCGTACTGACTGAGCTACCTCGTCAGTGTTGCTTTTTGGCTTATTTATCAAGTGAAAACTAAATTCTTAAATTAAGACCTTCGTCTTTTGAAGATTCATTCCCGGTCTCTGCTTAAACTTTAGAACATATAGGCTGCAAAAAAAATTTAGTTCATGCATTTTGCATTGTGTTCTGAAACGACCTCGAGAAATTTCGACTTTGAAATTTAACCTAACCTGAAATTGTAAAATGAGTTTGAACCCGTGCTAGGATTAGAGGTTAGAATAAAATAGACATTGAGGACTAATTTCTTAATATTGCACAGCGTGATGTTTCAGTTTTTCAAAGTTTTGAACCAGTAGCTTTATTATGCCAAAGTAGCCTGTTCATCGGTAAGAAAACAGAAGAGGATGAAAACTGAGTTCAGCAGTGTGATCACTCACATGACTAAAGGCTACCGTTGCTAAATTCCTGCTTTCGGGCTTACAATTTCCGGTGAATTATGTGCTTACAGGCAGGCGGGCAGGCGAAATAACACAGACATGATCTTTTATAATGCACTCTTTCGCACAAGGAGCGCTTAAAAACAGTTGTTTCAGAAATGTCAGAAACAGAAGTCTGTAGCATGTCAACATCTTACGCAAATTAAAAGAAAACTAAAAAAAAAAAGAATCAGGCTTGACTCAGATTAGTTGTGTGAAGCCTCGGTATTAATGAGGCATAACCGCGCGTTGATTACTACAAGGAACCGATTGCAGGTCGGAAAGTTTGAATTTTCGCTTGCAGCTGAGATATTTGCGGCAGCAGTAACACTGTTGCTCATTTTGACTTTTGTCATTTATCCAATGGCTTCAGCGGTGATTTGTAGATGGATTATTGCTAAATACGCCAGCATCGAATATAATCCGAAATTTGATGCCAATTTACCACTCGCTGAAAAACTCATATTCCAGCACACTGCACAAGTAACCCTTCAACTGAATTAAACTTACACTTCATGTGTTGCGTTATTCCGGCGCGAAGTCTCAAAATATACTGCATTTAGGCATACCAGAGCTTCACAAACAAACATATATATTGCAGTTGCTCTGCCTATGCCGTAAGATACGACCATCGATTTTCTACGGCTTGTAGGCAGATGCATCAAAAGGCTGACGTTCCTGCCTTCGCACATAACTGGCTTTCAAATCGCTGTGGAATTCCATTAATTTTTTTACAGTAAACGATATGAGTTACCATACAGTTGTGATAACACAGGCCCTTGGGCGAGAAGCAAAATTGCACACATATTTTCGTTAGTACAGAAGGATTATGCAACTTGATTTTAGGTTGTGTACATGAATAAGGGTCATATTTCGCAAAATTTCAGCTTCATACCTCTTAATATTTTGGCGTGGGTTTGCTTAGACAAGTGCAAATGCATAAAACTCATAGTCTTGTCACAATGCATCTGTTTGGCTGATACAAAAATGCGTAAGAAATGAGAATTTTCAGAATTGTTCCACAAATCTAGGCAGAGAGCATGTCGCATTTAAAAAGCACCTAATATACCAGCACGGATTCTGAAAAAATATAGATATGTGGTTGAGTTTTTCATGTAACGGTGCAAAGCCATTTCAGGAAATAGGAAGCAATAAACGAAGTCTAGAAGCATCATCAGCTTGTTAGCGCTGCATTCAACTTCATCTGTAAATTAACTTTTTCAAAAAAACATAGCTATAAAATGAAAGCATTAATTACTGTTAAAGAATATAACATTTTCCAGCTTCGGAGTATTATTAGTTACATAACTTCAGCGTGTCGGACAAGTAACACTGAGGTCCATTATTTTGTGATTGCTGTCTATCATATAGTGACATCTGCTCATACTTACTCTCTCTAATTATTAAGCTGCCACCACATTACACCTTAGCTACTGACGATGAGTGTCTAATCTTTGTCCTTTTTTTCTCACCTTTATAAGAATATATGCTCACAAGTGGCAGCCACAGCTCCAATATTTTAACGTGCCAGAATCACTTTCTCTATGAAAAAGGAATTCTCGTGTTGCCAGGATAAAGAGTTGCGCGGAAAAATTAGCTTAGCGGAAAGATAACGACTATTGACTAAGTTTTTGCAATCGACGACTGCTCGCATCGAGTACTGTTTCAGCTCAATGGTATAACCGATTAGAAAAGAGTTCTTATTTCTGCAACTATTGGTGAGAAAAGATCCTAGGGATTCAGCAGGAGTTGAGGCAGTTCGATTTTTTTGCGAGAAAATTAAGCTTCCTCTTAGATCACACGCAGATACTTGCACCTAATTACGATTGCCCATGCTTCTTAGCCGCATATGTAGACCATACCAGCCTCCAAAGCTGCCACCCTAAGAGCAATAGAATTCCGTATCCATATCTCAAATTTTGTCGAATCCTGTCGGTATCCTTGAATAGTGAAATGCAAAAGGGCTGATTTTAGATTTCATGCTTTCACCCAGTAAAAGAATTTTACTACAGAAAAGCGGTGAGCCACTGGATGGATGTTTAACTTTCGAAGAATTTGCGGACGTACTGAAGTCGATGGCCGAGGCTAACTTAACTGAAATGGAATCTGCTGCTGCAACACCGACTGAGCCGGTTACCTATTTGAACTACGAAGTACACGAATCATTGGGCTTTGACTGCGCTGTGGTAAATTACCTAGACTTTTTTTTCTTCAGCGAATTTTTTCAGGCCTGTTTGTCTGTGGCAGCCGGTAATGTGGGTAAGATTCTTTTCAAAGAAGAGGTACGGTCAGATAGAGAAGGGCAGCACCTTTACAAATTGCTTTTAACGTATCCGGTGAGAAAGCACAGTGAAAAATACTTGCTTAGTTACTTAGCAAATTTATGAATAACAGTAAACAGCGGTCAGTAGCTGTTTCATCGTGATGGCCTTTTTCGCCCCAGATACAACAGGCGACTTCTCCATTCGCTCGAGTTCTATTCGCGGCATTCTCACGGCTATGCAGAAACGTTCGTCTGGTCCTTTTTTTCTAGCTGCATTTTCATTGTTCGCCTAGCATCTCACTGATATCACTGGGCAGTTCAAACACCTATTTGTTACGCCTCATTCTCGACACATTACTAGCCCAATGTTTCTTCCTGTCGTATACTGCTTTGATAACTCATCACGCTAAGCAAACACTGCTTTCTTCACAGTTTAGATCTAAAGCATGTTGCTTCGCCGGACTTTCTTCCACTAGTGAGCGCTGTGCTCCATGTTTCGAATTCGCACACCAGAACTAATAATGCAATGAGACTAAAAAGTGACTTTTTCGCAGACAATGTTTTCATTTTGTTAAGCCATAATGGAGGCCAGTGACTCACTCCCTTCATTTTAATTAAGCGCAAATCTCCACCTGTATTGTTTGCTTCAGGAAATGTAGGTATAAGTTCGCAGCAAGAAGGATATCTTATCCGAATGAACACAGCATACGTTGTTTACTCGGTCTTCATAGATTCGGGACTGAATTCCCCTTGTGCTGATGAAAATATATTGACTAAAAGAGCAAAAAAAGTGTAAGCCATAGGAATTTGCGTGTATGGAAAATAACAAAAAGCAACAGTAATTAAAGAAAAAGATTTTGAGAAAAACTCGCCAAGACGGAAAAAAATTTGTGCTTCCGATTTTCTGTTTACGCTGTTTTCATCTCTTTTAACAAACTTTGTTCTACAATTTGCGAATGCTTTTATGTCTTTTTCTAGATCGTTCGTACAGAAACGACAAAATTTGAAAGCCTTCTAATTCGTATGATCGAGCAGGGACCGGGGTATTTTAATCTTGAAGGATATGAATTATACGAGCTTTTTACAGAGGTAAATTAATTTCGTATTGGTACTGCGCATATGCTGAATTTACAGCCGCTTTGTGCATTCTCAAATTATTCTGCATAGTGGAATCAACAAATTTATTTCCACGCTTACTTCTTGAACAAGTACTGGAATATATGACTTATACTTTATTATGTTTTTACAGGTGAGCGAAATTTTTCGTGTGGAGAAGTCCCTACTCGAAATTCCAGCTGATGTTGTTGTTGTTGGGGAAATTCGTGGTAGGTAAGTACTTTTTCTCTCACTTCCATGACCCAGTTCATGAATACAAACATACTACAAAACAAAGGCTACCATTAGGTTCTGTAAACTTGCCGGAAAAGGGATAAATTTTACACTTTTACTTTAATGTCTAAGAATAGATTGAAGGACCAGTGCTAAAAAGGATTCTTTTCCAGACAACACATGATAAGTCCTCGCCTTCAAAAAACTCTGGATATTTTACTTATCATATTTTTATAGCGCTGATTTTTTTTGCTTCAGTCTAATGCATATTATATTATTGATGCTAAACAAATTTCTGGCCCAAACACCTCAGCTTACCGTGAGAGTGGAACCGAATAATCTGTTTCGAAACAAGATGATAAGGCCGGTTATGTAAGCGATAAGAAACACTGTCAAGCCCAAAAGTAACAGCTGCTCGCTATGTGTCAGGAACAAAGATGGCATGGAAAGAAAGAGTTTGAAAACAAGCCCCATTACTTTGCAAGCCTTTGCTTCCGACCTGCAACAGCACGTCAGCACCAAGGGACGGAAGACTGCTCAGAAACCCAGGTAACAAAAAAAAAGCCACCTTGAAACGGTTGCATCTATCGATGTACACCTGCAGCAGAAGGATACTGTCGAGACACTATCAAGAGTATTTATAAGCATGGATGTTGTTGACATCAGAACTCCCTACACTAATCAAAATTTGCATTTTTTGGCTGCAGGAACTCCGAAACCTTGATATTGTAGTCAAGGTGAAGTTAGCTACAAAATGGAAAGCCCGCAGGTCAATGCCGGCCATGGCTGTCTGTAAGGTCGAGAGAAGACGTTTCGTTAGGAGACCTCACGTAACGAACAAAACTGTTTTGCGCGACATTTAGCCGTCTCGTGTGTCAGATGTTCATTAGCTGCACCAGTAAAAAATTTACAATGAAATCTGCAGCAGTCCATGTGCTCAGTTCAGCTGCTTAAGACGAGGAGTTTGATACAGCATGACAGCAGAAGATAGTGTGTGGGATAGTGCTCGAACTTCCAAGAGGAAGTGCATCGGAAGAACACATCTGTCCGCTTGCGCCAACAGTTAGTAGTGGCACAGAGAGCAGACTCATTTGTTCCTTGATTGCATAAAATTCTACAACTTCTAGTTTGTCCTCCTCTCTCCTCGGTCCTCTCGACTTCCATCCCAATTGCTCTTGCATGGCACTATTTTTTTGCATTCAGGTATTCGGACTTATTGCGATGGTTTCAGTTATACGGTTATCCGCCAAGGCGCCGTTATTTGTTTCTTGGTGGTATCATTGATCAAGAGTGTGCCGAATCCATTGAAACAATCGCTTTTCTAGCAGCTTTCAAAGTAGCCATTTTATGAATATTCTCAACGGCTGCAAAACAAACCTTCATTCGCCGACTACTCTGCTCTTCTTTTGTTTTCATTTGCGCCTGGCCGCGTATCAACAGTTTCCCGTTTGGTCCAAGCCGTGCACACGTCCCTCTTCTTTTGCGAAACCACGCAAAAGTTTTAAACTTTACATCACTGCTGCCGTTCCTTCTCGACTTTCGTCTCGTTGCCAGTGCCTCTTGCGCCTTACTCCTTGGCTTCCACTTTTCGTATTTGCTTGTGCTGTTCAGTGTGGTTCTGCTCACTGTTTCTCACTCGGAATGGTTTTCTTGCGCTCTTTTTTATGAATAGTTATTTCGCTTTATATAGCTATAAGCAGTTTCGAGCACAGCACATCTGGGAACCATGACCGGCTACTGTACCAAAATTTTTCTCGAATGTACAGATGCGGCAATTTCGAAATTCTGAATTTTTTTTTCATAAATTTTAGCTTCTCGCTTTTCAGAATTACTTTTTAAAGCAAAGTTATTTAGATAACAGCGCCGCATCACATCTATATAATTCGTGGTGCTACAGAATTTTTTCCATTCCATGTTCGAAATCGTTTTCCCCGCAAGCTCTGTACTATTTTATCATCGTTCATCATGCGGATATGTTCAGAACTGCCGACTGCGGCTACCATTGGCAATAAAATTTTGGCTGTGCATTCAGGAATTAGTCCAAAAGTTAGTGTCTTTCCCGCTATCATTTATCTGTTTTTTGCTGTATTAGGATACAACCCAGGCTGGAACGCACCAGACGGGCCGGTGCGATTGCGCGTTTTTGCACTTTTCGTGCTTGCAGCAAGATCGCAAGGAATCAAAGTAGCTAACCCTGTGAAATACTGGCCCTCGAAGTTCGGGAA